CGCACGTGCCCGCGCGGCCGGGGCCCGGACCCACCCAGGATCTTCCCGCGGCGCCACCGCGCGCTACGCCCCTGCAGCGCTCCACCTGCGCCCTGGCCAGCCCCAGGCCTCGGGAGCGCCCCTTCCCCGCAGCGAGAGGCCGGAGCGCGCCGAGCGCTGTCCTGCCACGGCCGCGGGGCTAGTCTCTCAGACGCCGGTGACCTTGGCAGTAGTCCTCTGCCTTCTCTAATTTCCGCTGCTTTAGAACAAGGGCTTGGACACGCTGCCCTCTGGGGCCGTTGCTGGACCGAGCGAGCAAGCGAGAGCGGAGGGGATGCCGTGGGAGACTCGCCAGATCCAGGTCCAGGCAGAGGTTGGGGACAGACGGTCTGTCCCCACCCGCAGACTCCAGAGAGCGCTCCAGGCCGTCCTCATCCCAAGTATCAAGCAAGACCTCGCTTTCCCGCCAGCAGATACCGGCTCCTGCGTTTCTAAGCGATCAGTCTTCAGCAGAGGTTTTTTGTTTGTTTGTTTGTTTGTTTGTTTGTTTATGCACATGGTCCAGGGATATGAGACTGCAGACAGAAGTATTATTATTATTGGCCAACGTAGTTTTGTATTTAAACAAATATTGCTCACCGACAATGTGCTGGGATCCAAAGCCTATTCTTTTATTTAATGTACACAGCCCTGGGGGCGGGATGAGTAGGAAACATTATTTTCCTGTTTTACACATGTAGAAACTCACACGGAGTTCAAATGACTTGACCATAAGCAAGTGGCTGTCAAGATTCACATATGTCTTTGTCTGATGCCAAATCCAATTGGATTTTGCGCCCTATAGGGTTTTTCTTATTAATCTTCAGGTTTATTCTCACCGAAAGTTTCCCCACCTTACACATTTCTAATTACTCATTCATCAGAACAGGAGCTTTGTTTGAATTAAGGAAATCAAAGAAAAAATTCAGGTAGGCCAATCTAACCATTTCTTCTATTTTGTGCTCTTGAAAATAAAGCACCCTAAGGCCTGCGTATCTAAACCTAAACGTTGTTATGTAAAAAGAAGGAAACACGCCGTTTTATTATCAATCAACAAAGTAAACCATGTGTAGAGGGAGACAGCCAAGTGATGGGAACTCATCGTGTTCAGAAGTCAGACTATACTCTTGCATGTGATGTAGCAAGGCAACCCCACGG